TGAAATTTGTACGGAAAATTATGAAATTTGATGAAAACTAATATAATTTAGTCTACCTTTAATTTTCTCTGGTTTACTACTCCTTCTCTCCCTCTCTCTCTTTCTCTCTCTCTCTTTCTCTCTCTCCCTCTCTTTCTCCCTCTATCTCCATCTCTCTCTCTCCCTCTCTCTCCCTCTCTCTCTATCTCCCTCTATCTCTCTTTATTAACCCTTTGCGAACCGGATTGGTTTGTGTCTTTGCTAATTAAATTTAAATTTATCTTGACGTACATTTTCCTAAACATGTGTCCAGGCTACACCAAATTTCAAATTTAAAGCGCTATGTGTCACCCAATACCAAATTTAGTGTTATATATAGGACTATTTAGTACTTTTCGTACACTTGTAGTATACATTTCCTAATCTACCTCCATATGTTCAAGCTACACATGAAAGGCGACTCTAATGCCAAATTTCAGATTTCAAGCACTACCTGTTCACTCAATAGCATATTTAGTACCAAATATAGTACTATTTAGTAGTTTTCGTAAACTTGTAGTACAAAGTTCCAAAAACACGAAATCCAGCTCCATTCGTCCAACCTGAATCTAATTTTTCCAAATTTAGTACCGCACATGTATTGCACATTTCCAAAACCACATACCTATACAAAACATACTTTCCAACCTTGATTCTCATACCACATTTTAAGTTTGTAACTCTCTCCGTTCACATAATAACACATGGTACTATTTTTGAACCTTTCAACCAAAAACACTTTGGTACATCTATCCTGCACTCCCCATCAGTGACTCTCATTCCAAATTTCAGAATTGTAGATCATTCAGTTTATCCAATACAAAATATTCACTTTTTAGTACATTTTAGTACCCTTTTAGTACGAATTTCCAAAAAGCCCAGCCAAAATTTCAAGATTCTAGCTTCATCTGTTTCGAGTGGACGTTGATTCTTAATTCGTCAGTCTGCCAGTCATATACTCTTTTATATATATAGAAAGACAGACAATTTTACCATTTCGATTGGAATATATTCAAGTTCGGATAATGGGCCAGTCAATCGTATTCGAGTAATTAAAATAACAAAAAGAATTCTATCAATAATCTTAGCAAGACGTGATTTTCAAATCTTACGCGCACATATGTCAAATATTTAATTTCACAACTAGGAATACAAAAATAACGTGTTCGAACACGAGCGTATACTGATAATAACAAAACAAACTATGTTGGGGTCGAGAGGGGGAAAACTTTTTTTTTTTTTTTTTTTTGACGACCACGACTACACATTTGTCAATCAAGTGGGCCAATCGCATGAATGAGTGGTGTCTGTGGTGCTTGGAGAACTCAAAACTGAACTGGAATGGAAGTCATTAGAGATAAGATTTGAACTTCAATTGAATGAAGTGACTTGACTGACAGACTGCTCAACTGACGGACAGCAGTGTCTATTGGCCAAAACCGCGTGCACTCACACACACACACACATACATACGTATAATAGATAGAACAAACATGTAAATTATATATGGCTGGTTTATAAATATTATTGTTGTTGTTGTTATTGTTATTTTATTACTGCCGGAGAACTGTTATCGCAGCACTCATCAAATAAAGTCATTCACATGGAATGGATGGAAAAATAGGGGAAAAATATATAGAAATATATTTATGTAGAACACGATAAGATAAGAAGCTTTTCAATTTTTTTTTTTTTTGTTTAATATTTATTTTTGTTGTTTTTTGTTCTATCTCGTTTCTAAGTTTATTGCTCTGATATTTGTGATGATTACCTTAGTTGCTTTGCGATAAGATTTTGAAATAGATAGACTTTGGCAAATACAATACTCTTGTGATTGGGGTCATCAAATACTTGGGAGAGGGGGGTTTAATGGTGAAATATGTGGAGGATTGAAAATTAGAAGAGAAACAAAAAAAAAATAAATTAAAAAATGATGATTGATCAGAAATTCGATAGGGTGTTTGATACTGACATTTCTGTGTCACATTATATCGATCAGGCATTTTTTTCCGTTAACTGATAACAGAGATAACCGGGGATTTTCGTCATTCGCGGAATGTTTTTTTTTATTATTTCTCCAAACATTTGATAATTTCGATATGGCGTGTGTGAGGAGCACGTCATTTAGATAAAGCTTATGAAAATTATATGAAAATAGACAATTCAGACAAAACCACTTCATACGTGGATAATTGTTTATAAATGGAAAATGGGAAGAACTGAGACGACATGGCATAAGCCGACATCACTTTTGGACTTGGGTATAAAAAATTGGTAATGCGGAAACTGTAAGGCCAAGACTCAGCTAATGAAATAGATGACGAAACAATGACAAATATTGTTTCCGAAATGCTAAGTTAGAGCAGGAGATCCATCGCCAAAGGCAAAGAAATAGTCATAGTCTCCACGGCAGAAGAACAAAATGCGACAGCTAAAAAATGGAAAAAAAAAATAACAAGGCACCGGGTCCTGATAGAGTTCCAACAGAGATTTTCAAGGAGGAGGGGGAATATGTATGACCATTGTTTAGCAGAAGGAATCTTCCGGCCACCCTGCATGCTAAATACTGTAGGCAAACTATTCCGGATACTGCTAAAGACCAGAATAGCCGATGCTGAAAGCTCGAAATGAGAAGAAGTGGAAAGTTAACCATCATTGCAATGAAAGAAGTAGTCGACGTCCGCCGTCCGCCAAAGAAATAATCACAGCGGGATGATAATTCTATTAACCACGCTTTATGTGAAGAATGATTTCAATAGCCTAGGGTGGACAGACGTAATAAACGCCGTGGAACCTAACTTTCAAGTCTCTTTAGAGAGTACACATGAACCTCGGCCCTAATACCAAATTTCAGATTTCAAACACTTTTTCTTCACCAAATTTAGTACCAAATACAGTTCCATTTAGTACTTTTCGTGCACTTGTAGTACACAGTTCCGAAACCACCTCTATATCACAAACCTATTACCAACGGGGATCCCAATGCCAAAACAACGAAATTCCAGCTCCATTCGTCCACCCCAAAATCTAATTGTTCCAAATTTAGTACCATTTTGCACAGTTCGTACATTTATTACACATTTTTAAAATCACATTCTTATACCAAACATGCTTTCCAACCTTGATTCCCATACCAAATTTTGAGTTTGTATCCCTATCCGTTCACATAAAAACACATGGTACCATTTTTGAACCTTTCGTAACCTTAAAGTTTGAATTTCCAAAAACCATTTGAAAACATCTATCCTGCACTCAATTAGTGACTCTCATTCCAAATTTCAGAATTGTATATCATTCAGATTATCCAATACAAAATGTTAAATTTTTAGTACATTTTAGTACTTTCCGTACCATTTTAGTAAGAATTTCTAAAAACCCAGCCAAAACTTCAAGATTCTAGCTTCATCCGTTTCGTCTGGCCTGAAATCCTGAAATTCGGGTTGAGAAAAGGAGCGGGCTTTGGAAATGCGTACTGTTTATAATTGTTCGAAAAAGTACTAAATAGTACTAAATTGGATGGTGAATGAAAGGATATAGCAGGAATTTCGAAGTTTTGGTATTGGTGGTAGATTTGAGAATTGAAGTTGATTTTGGAAATGTATAAGAAAAATTGCTGAAAGGTAGTACATTTCGCCTATTGAGATATGGAAAGGATTTGTATGTGTGTACTAAAATTACACGAAAAGTACTAAACGTTACTTTATAACATACTTTATATCGTATTCGAGCGGGAACCCCGAAATTCGATATAGAGGTCTCTGCTGGTATCTGGAGGTCTCGGTTGAGATCTGTTCGTGGTTTTGGAAATGTGTGCAATAATTATACGAAAAGTACTAAAAAGTACCATTTTTGGTTACTTTGTTTTGTTTTGGATATGCGTACTAAGTGTTACTGAATTTGGTATTGGGATAGAGCTGGAAGTTTTGGTATTGGGATCCCGGCTGAAGGTAGGCTTGAGAATTTAAGTTAATTTTGGAAATGTGTAAGGAAACTTCTTAAATTGTACTAAATTTGGTACAATTCGGTATTGAGTGAACATATAGTGCTTACAATTTCAAATTTTGTATTAGGATCGCTGTTAATTTTTAGCCCTGACATATGGAGGTGGTTTTGGAAGTGCGTGTATTATAATTGTACGAAAGGGACTAAATGGTACTAAAATTGGTATCGGGTGAAGGGTTCGAGATAAAATTTTATAATTTAATGTTAAGGTCTCGTAAAGGTTAAGGTTGGTGTCTGGGATTGATGTATGGAACGGGTTTTCATATGAGTACTAAAATTATACGAAAAGTACTAAATGTTACTAAAATGGGTATTTGATGTGGGGATAAAACTGGAATCTCGAAATTTGATATTGAGGTCTATTGGTATGTGGTGTTGAGATCTGGCATTGATTATAGATATGAGCACTAAAATTGTACAAAAAGTACTATTTTTGATTACTTGGTTTTGGATATGCGTACTAAGTGTTACTAAATTTGATATTGGGTGAAGGGATATGACTAAAATTCTTAAATTTGATTTCTAGGATTTACATATGGAGACGTTGAAATAGTTTTGGACCGAATAATTGGATGTAGGTCCACTGCGCAATGGAAAACTTTAAAATAAAAGATTTTTAAAACATTTTTCCCATTATTTTCGGAAAATGGAAAAACTTGAACCATATATAAAACCTCGAAGGTCTGAAAATATAGTACAGGACATGAAGTTTTGATTAAAACCCGTTGTCGAACTGTTAAAATTGTGAATTTTGAATTCTAAAAAGGCCCACAACGAACTGTTGAAACGAATCCTAAAATTTTGAGGTGCATTTTTTTGCTGACGAAGTAGCGGGCAATTGCTAGTTCCCAATATTAAGTTCGGGGTAACTCTACCAAGTAGGCATAGTGGGGTAGTACATCTTTTAAGCCTTCTTTGCTGGTTCTTGTTTGGAAAATTCCAAAAAAAATATTTTTTGAAATGATAGACAGAACACCTACCTATGAATTGGTGATGCACCAGCGGGTATCCTTTGCTGTTGCTGATAGGTTGACATATTTGCGGCAGCTTGTTGCTGCTGTTGTTGTTGTTGCTGCTGAGACTGTTGCTGTGAAAGATGTGAGGGTGGTTGTGGCTGTTGTTGTTGCTGCTGCTGTTGTTGGGACGTTGGTCCATTATCAACAGATTGTTTTTGCTGTTGTTGCTGTTGCTGCTGCTGTTGTTGTTGTAAATGATGATGAAGATGAAGTTGTTGTTGATGCTGATGATGTTGATGCTGCTGCTGTTGTTGCTGCTGCTGTTGTTGCTGCTGCTGCTGTTGATGTTGCTGTTGTTGTTGTTGCTGCTGTTGACTTTGACCACCATTAGGTGGCGGCTGAGGACCACCAACCTGTACTGATGAACGTATGGCTGCTTCCATTTCATGCCGAAATTCATAGAAATAATTTTTGTTTTTGTTGTTGTTTTTTGGGTGGGGGTTCTATTCTATTCCTGAACGATCGAGCTGCATCATTGGCATCGTAGCAAGAACAAAATTCGCAATGTTATTTCTCCCTTCTCTCCTCTCTCCCTTCTCTATGTGTGTGTGTGGCGTTATGGAGATGATAGGGAGTTAAAGAGTTCTTGCTGATCTTGCGGCGAGTGGGCGGTCGGGTCGTTTAGGCTGTGAGTTGGACTTTTTACACGAGCCTTATAAAATGTGCAGCGGCCAACAACTTTTCAACACATTTTTTTAATAATCTTTATTTTTTATTAATTTTTTGCTCTGCTTTTTTCCACTTGCCTTTAGATTAAAAATTGATTTTTTTCTCTATTTGCACTGATGTATTTTTTATTTATATAATTATTTGGGCAATAATATTATATATTATTTTTTATGATTTTTTTTACATTTAGAAAATTATTTTTCCAGAAAAAAACAAATTTTCTTACACTTAAATATTTTTTCTTCTTTCTTTTTTTTCTTATTAGCTTGAAGCCTTAAAAACTATTTTTTATTATTATTTTAACCACTTTAAGGATTTTTCTTATAAGATGCGGCCCATATTTTAGAGATATATATTTTTATTAGATTATTTTTTTATTATTAAACTTGCTTACATATATATATATTTTAATTTATTATGAAGAATTATGATTTTTTTATATATATATATTTTTTATTTTATTTTTAAAAAAGAACACAAGTTTTCTTCAGTAAAACTAATAATTTCCACATATTTTTCTTTATTTATTTTTTTCTCTATTTCTTTCTGCCTTTCCAGAGAATTGAATTGAATTTTTTCTCTATTTTTTATTTCAGAAAATTGGAGAGATCATGGAAGATTTTCACATCCTGTAAAGAAATGAAATAAATATGTAAAAAATCAATATTTCTAAAATAAAAATTTAAAAATAAAACAAAGACAAAAAATAATTTCCGAATAACCACGATCACACCACGACGCGTTTTCCTATTTTTTGTCTCTAGAGGGGTATTTGGTGTGCAATTATTTTAGAAGTGTTTGGAAAGGATGTCCTCTATGTGTCGCCCAATTTGCAGTTTGAGTTTGTTTTGTGGATTGCCGGTTGAATAATTCCTGATTTGTTTTTAAATCCAATTTTTGTAAAATCTGAAAAAAATAGAAATAAAAATCGGTTAGTTAGTTGCTCAACTTATTTAAGAGAATAAAAAATTAATATTGAATTTGGACAAAAATATTGAAATTCGTAAGAAATTTGATTCCATTTACATTTTGTTAGAGCTAAGATGTATCAAAAGGAGTGGAATATGTTCAAACCTATATAAAGCCCTTCACAGAATTGGTCTAAGAACCCAAAAACAAACAAAGGATTTTGATATACAAATCTATACCAAAGGGATTTTCAAGTCCGTTTGGTATTTTCCACAATCCGGACAGCAAAATTATAAGAAAAATTGCAGCAAATTGAGAAAAAGTGCTATATTTTTTAAACCAAGTTAAAAAGTATCTGCCTATTTTGTCCACAGATGTATACCGATGTTTGACTTCTGTTATGATTTTACGAACAGTTGACCCATCATGGAGAAGGTCCGAAGTATGGGCCAATATTGTCCAGTTCGTATCTGCCCTAAGTCTGATATAAATATTTCAACCTGCCAGCTTTGGACTATATCGACTACTTCAGGTATCTGATATAGTGGGATGAAGTACAGGGTGAGATAAAAAAAATTGCAACCAACTTTAGACTGCTGGCTCAAAATGGTTCGAAAAGTTGGTTGATCAAAACCCGCGTTGCAGTGGCCGAAAAATGGCTCGTGAGCTGAACATATCGCAATATTCCATTCCGCAAATATTGGAAAATGAGCTCGGGTTAAAGCCATTAAAATTCCAAAAAGTGCAAGAACTTACACCGCAACAGAAAGAAAATAGACTCAAAAGAGCTAACGAGTTGCTTCGCTTGGCCGAAAAGGTGGTGAACTGCCGAATATGATTTTCTCCGATGGGAAAACAAAACAAAATGATCGTGTTTACTTGCCAAAGAGGTCAGCTGAAAATGTGCACCTTCGTTTGACCACCGGAACTCAAACGTCAGCCATGGTGATGGTGTGGGCCGCCATAACAGCCGATGATCGCTCTCTGCTCGTATTAATCGACCGTGGCATCAGAATAGGTTCCATAAGGAGTAGGCCGATGTATCTCATCTCCACAACAGATCTTGTGTTAAAAGAAATATTGGAATATGTGAAATTCGGAATGAATCTGATACTTATTTCTCGTTCTATGAGCGTTCTGGTTGTGTGGGGAAGCAGTGGTCCCATATATTCCATCTTCCAACTAGATATTGTTTTAGCAGAAATATTGGGATGTGAGAAATTTTGACCCCTTGTGGGAGAAGTGCCAGAAGCAGTGTTCCGATATCTACCACCTTCACACCAGATCACGTTTTAATAAAAGTATTAGGGTGTGAGAAATTTAAAGGAAATCTGATACATACTTCGATACATACATATTGAAATTTGTTCCCCTTTGTTGGGGGGGGGGGGGGGTGGTGTTACCAGAAGGAGTGGGCCGATATCTACCATCTTCACACCAGATATTGAGTTAATAAAAGCACTGGGATATGCAAAATTTGAAGAGAATCGGAAACTTATTTCGCATTTTATGAGAGCAACAGCTTCTCAAAATTTTGACCAGTTGTGGGAGAGATTCCAGAAGGTATGTTCCGATATATTTCAATTAATTGAAAATAGAGGTGGGTTAGGGTCCGAATAGAAGCCTATTGTTTTTGGAGATTATCGCAAAATATTTAGGGTATGAAATGGACCAAAAACCGGAAATTTTCCTGATTCTGCAGTTGCTTTACAGACCACAATTAGTGACGAATCGACGTAAAATTTAGAGGTTAGGGCTGGGCAAAAGCCTACCAATTTGGATGGTAGCCCAAAACCTATTGTTATAATTGATGTACATTTAAGGGTTCAAATGAATCAAATGAAAATCAATCGACACGGAATTTTGCATTATGAGAAAATTAAGGACAGGGCAGAAGTCTAACATTTTGGACTTTCGTGTGAACTTGTTTTAAATGCCTATCAGCACTACAGAGAGCATATATATACATAACATTTGTGCGGGGCTGAATGGCATTATTTCAAAAACGAAATCTAAGAAAATGGATCTGAACCTAGGGGGGCTTCCAACATATTATAATGTTGTAGGGTATTACATGGTTGGCCCGCACGACTATAGCCTTTGCTTACTTGCTTTTTTTCTATTTTGTATTTTTAGAAACTTACATTTATAATTTATTGACAAATTCCTAGAACTTTTCCAAAAACTGTTCCCTTGTCGCAACAAAATTGGAAATTCATCATTTTCCCGACCTCTAATTCATTACAAGAATTCTTGAAATTCTCTACGGATTTTCGGGGAATTATTTGACAACTTTGACATTATATGTCAATTGACACACACACACACGCCAACATGGACACCAAGATAGCAAAATTGTCTCCTTCAGCAAAAGAGACCAAAAGTCAAATCAATCGGAAGGGGGGGATGATAGTGGTGGTGGATTATAACTTTCTTTAATCAATAAAATCCCAAATGAGACAATGTTGGGCAAAAAAAAAGGAATCCCATATGAGTACATGTATATATAACATGGATACATACATATATACACGAACTATGTATCTGGTAAATAACGAAAACAAAAGTAGGGAGGTATCCACATTTGTTCAATGTCTTGGCCTTTACGACTAACAAACAACGGCGCAATAAAATACATTTTAATTTGTTCGGGGCAGGCTTCCTCCTCCCCATGTTTCCTTTTTTCTTTTTTTTTTTTTGGATCTCTTTAAATGTCCTCCACAAAAAATATTTCCACACACACACAATCAGCAAAATAACGAATTCCAATTATGTTGCCGGCACACGAACGATTTTTGTTGTTACTTTTGTTCATTTATTTTTGTTGTATTGACGTCAGTTAACAATAATAACAATAACAACAATTGAAACAAACAAATGTCTTCTAATAATAATGATGAAAGGAAGGCGAAGAAGAAAAACTGTTTTTCCTCTTCGTGCCTTGTTAATATTAAATCCCCATAAAAATTTAATAAAATGGAGAATTTGAGGGGGGAGGGGGTTGGATTTTTGAAACGCACAAAAATATATTCTACGCAGCAACACATTTTGCTTTTAATTTATTCCCGACATGAGCAAAGTCCAAAAAAGGAAATTTCAAATCATTACCACCCCGCCATTCCCTAAAATTCCCCTAATTTCAATATTCCCTCGCTATGGCATTCTAAAAATGAAAAAGCAAAAAAAAACATTTGAAATGTTTGCTAATTTATTGCTTTTCAAAATAGAGTTTCGATTATCAGCTCTTATCTCCCATGCCAGCCAGTCACCCAGCCAGCCAAAATATTTGGCACGTTTGCAAAAAAAAAAAAAAAAACATTCGCAAACAATATTCAAAATACACACTCATATACACACACGCAGCTATCAAAACTGGGTTAATGATAAAAAAAATATAAATATTCTACGAAGCAGAACAGAACAAAAAAGACAAATAAAACGCAACTCAACAATAATAGCAACAAAGAAAGCAAAAGAAACGAAGAACATCAGAGATTATAACCAGATTAGGTTTCCGAAAATTAACGACGACAACCCAACTCAAAACTGCCAGCCTGCCTGCCATTGGCAACCAAAGACGAAAGAATCGACCCCGACCCGACCCATCCAAGAACAAAGCAAAAATGTACGGGTTGGGTAACAAAATTCATTTCTCAAGAAAACAGGCAAACGAAGAAAAAAGACAAAGACAACGGAGACGAAGACGAAGAAGAAGATACATTTCTTTGGCATTCTCGCTGGCTGTTCGTTCGTTCCATGGCAAACATTAGCGTAATTAAGATTAAAACCGGATTAATAGGGGCATACTCAGACCGTCAACCCGGACCACTCAAAAAAAAAAAAAAAGAAAAGAAAAAAAATCATGGAAAATTTCCAAGCAAGTAGGGGCAGGTATTATGAAATAAAAGAGAAGAAGTGGGGAAATACTCAGATGCACACACACACACACACACACACTGATGCAAACAAAAAATACATCAAATTAAAAAAAAAAAAAAAACAAAAATGAAATGTGTTAATTAAAAAAAGTGACAATCACATGTACACACACAAACACACTTGCCCGGAAGATTATTGGACTATTCCCGAGGAGGAGGGGAAGTAATATTTGTAGAACCACGCTTAAGGACAAGAATGGATCCCTCCTGGCCTCAAGGGAATGCCATGTGAGAAAAATCATGCCGATGGGGTTCAACAAAATTCTTTAGGAGCTCCATAACTCAGGCCATGATGAAGGGTAATTTTCTCTTATTGAAACAAGTAAGAAAATGTCAGCTGAAGTTTTAAAAAACCGGATAAGTGCCCCTAAAAGTACATCATGTCCCAGTGGTGGGTTTTTATACCCTCAGCCATATGGCTACAGAGGGTATACATCATTTGATAAGTCCAAAACGTTTCTCATAGAAACAAAGGTTTTAGACCCTAATTCCATTTGAATGAAATCCGTTTCAGGATATTTGGAGTCGATCTAGAAGTGTCTGTTTGTCCGTCTGCCTGGCTGGTGTGTACGATAACTCTCCCTATTTCGTCCAAATTAGATACACCGTAATATTATTATGAAACTTGGATGGAGTTCGGAGATGGGTAATATCGGTTCACTCCTTCACCCCCACAAAAGGTCCAAATTTAAAAAAAAAATATTTTACTGCACTAAAAGAGAAAAGATAATATGATTTTGTTCCAACTTTGCAAATCCTAATATACCATCAATGCCACGTCA